TGCACTTGTTCCTAGTAGCTTCTTGTTACTACTAGTAAGGCACCTGTTACTACTAGCGTGGCACTTGTTACTACTAGCTTCTTGTTACTACATGTTACTACTAGTAAGGCACTTGTTCCTAGTAGCTTTGTATTTTATACGACAAAAGACATATGACAAAAGACATGCCACTGACGAACATGATACTGCATATACAAAAGAGAGCAACATGACAGAGGCTGGTACCAACATCTAGGTGAAGCAGTATGCACAAACAAAAGGCCATCTGATGCGTGGCATCCAATTTCCAATTTTGTAAGTGTGATACTGCTGAGAAAGGTACCGGAAGTGGCACCGTTTCCAGCGATGTGCTTGTTGGCATGCTCGACAAATTATGAGAACAGTCATCATAGTTGAGATTTGGACCAGCAAGCGCTTGTTCTGATCATTGGTACTACATCATGAATCATGAGGTTTGCCACGAATCATAGTTAGGGACACCTGCTCAGATTTGAGCCCAACCCACTTGGATTAAACTGTTTGTGTCTGTCTTTCTTTAAGGTGGAAGAAGTGGGTCGGGAGGAAAACCTTAATGTTGTTTCGCTCATATGCTTTGGAGATATTTGGAGATATCAGTTTTCGGTGTGGAACTGGTATATAGTTTGTTTGATATACTCTATGCTTTGGTCCTGAAAACACGTTTCCACTAGTTTTTTTTTACATGCTTAGTGGGAACAACGGAACATCGGAATATCTTATTCACTCCCACAAGTTGTGGAGATGAGGCAGCAACCTCCGACGGCCAAAGCCTTTGCTTCTTGGAGAGCAGGGAGCAGGGTTTTGATAATTCATTCATAGGCTCACCGTCACCTCTCAAAAACACGACAGAAGGCAAAAGTTGAAGGAGACCTGATGCCATCTTTGATCATGGAGGGATGAACATATGGACACCAGCCACATTTGCCATGAGCCAATGGATCTTTCTCCCTGAGCATCGCCCGGGCATCGCCATGAATCTATCGCCATGGATCGTCCCTATCAGGATGTCTACGAGATCCCTGTGAAGTTGATCATCAACTCAAAAGAGGGACAGATGAGTGTGGAGGCGCCGTTTTCCGTGTTTTTCCGCGCCGTTCCATGTGCAGAGACTTTGCCGTTCCGCGCGGTCGAGGTGGTTTTGGGGCGGGTTTTGTTTTCTATTTGTCCGTTCTGGTCAAGCGAAGATGGGTCCTCAGGCACTGGCGTGTATTGACCTGCCACATTGTAGTCCTTCACCACTGCACTTCATGATGAGCGAAAAATCGAGTACAAAACGGCTCTTTTCGTTGAGATAAATTGGATCCAACTCTTTTCTGCATGCAAACGCGGCAACACCTCCATTCAAATTGCGCTCAAGCCGGGAACGAGGTCCCCAGCCCTGAGCTGCCAGCGCAGTTGCAATCAAAGATGCTCGGCCAAAGGGGCGCGTTCTACAGGTGTCCCAAAAAACATGTTTGGATCAGAGAAGGACGAAGTAGACCAAGTAGACTTGCTTTGGAGGACACTGGCTTGATTTCCAAAGGACCTGCCGAAAAGAAGTTCCTTCTGGATCTCTTCAGCAGCTTCTCCTTTCCGACGATGTTTGTAGCGGCCGGGAAGGGAATACGTTTGTTTCTTTGCTTGGACTTCGGAAGCTCCAATCCTAAGGATCGCCGAAGCAGTTGTGAGCCCAGATGCTGTTCTCAGACAGGAAAAAAAGGTTTCCCAATTTGAACAAGGAGCTTGCTTTTGTTTGTCAGACTTGATGTGAAGTGTGATGAGATGGGACAAACTTCCAGCCAACTGTTAATAATGCCAATAGTGCAATCTTGAACAGCTGGCACTATCAGCATTTATAATAAGTTTTTTGGTTTTGGGTCTTATCAAGTTCAAGGCACTGCACCACTTGCACCATAGGTGTTGGCGACCTGGAAGAAACAGCTCAATAAGAAAGCAGCGCAAGGGCTTCCCAGATTTGGAGGTTCAAGGTGGGTTTGGATTTAGGAGTAAGATGGTCAACATACTGACTGAAGACCTGATCATTTGTGGTTTGGGCTTCATAAAGAGATTGATTAACCTCGTGTCCATGGACTCGCATGCTAAATTGGCCGAGCCGACATGGTCATTAACCTGCAGTTATGTCAGTCTCGGACTGACTGTCAACCTGGCCTTTCATGGAGTCCACCTCCTGTTTGTAGAGGAACATGGTTTTCCAAGAAGCCCCGTTCGTAGCGTCCGATCGCTCCGTTCGTAGCGATGCCCTTTGTTACTAGTAGCTTCTTGCTCCTGGTAGTAAGGCCGGGGGCCCCGTTCGTAGCGTCCTTGCTACTAGGTCCATCATTTTCCACTTCCATGTAAGTTCCAGGTAGTGCACACCCCGTCGGATCTACTCATTGGTAGTGCACATCACCCAGCCCGATCGACCGGCTGTGCTGGCTTCAGGCCGTGGGGAATTGCCGCCACCTTTGAATGGGCCACTTGAATGGGCGTTTTTTTCATGGGCCAACCAGGATGGCTAACACACAGCTGTTCCAGCTGGCTGAAAAAGACTTCCACGATTTCCACCACAGTCCTGCAGTTTCCACATGAGACTTTCTAAGTGTTTCCCAAAAAGGGGTGGAGATGTCAAGACGAGTCTCTCGGCAGGAGATGATTTTACTGACTGACTGCGACCGGTTACGGGACTGAGGAAATGGAACCCTCAATAGAGATTCGTTTGGATCCAGCCACCCTCATTCTAGCACCAGCGCAAGTGAGTTGAAGTAAACCTGCTCCAACTTGCAACCAGCTCCATCGATGAAAACTGCTCCGAAATGAAAACTGGTTTTGGACGAGATCCACTCATCGGGATGTGGCGAGATCCACTCTGATGGATCAGGGTGATGGATCAGGGCTAATGAGGGTTCTATGAACATCTCACCCTTGTCCTCCGGGTGACTGAGGAGGTAGGGTGCTCTTGAAAAACGGTTGAAGCCATGGTTGTCGGGTCATTCCTCATCTCCAAGAGCAAAGCCATCGGGCCCTGCCATGTTGAGGTTGCAAGTAACTTTGCGAAGCTTTTGATGCTGGACGCAGAGTGCCTGCACCCTTACGCTCGGAACTCAGTTGGGCCGGCAACGAAAGAATTGGGCTCACGATCTGTGGGCTCGCACAGTCGTGCTAAGCAATGTTGTACATCAATCTATCGTCATCCATTCCATAGCCCCTTTGGATGATTTGGAAGATGTCTTTGGGGAGGAACAATGGGGTGGCTACATTGTCAACAAGTGCTATGAACCACCTTTCGTCAAGGGGGTGAGCGCTTTTTTGTGGGACCTGTGTGAGACTGACTGATGACAGTTATATATATATATATAGATTGAGAAGAGTGAGCCTATTGCATGACCCAACACACTGGAGTTTGGCACCAAGGCTGACTTTGCACATAGACACAAACTGGTATTTTGACTAATTCGCAAGCATGTTTTGGCTGTACAGGGAACCAACTTCACCAGAACAAAAGACGTTCGCAACGTCAACCGTCAAACGTCAACCTTTGTGGCGAGCTTGTTTTGAAGCGCCTGCACCTAGGAGGGATGTGATGAGAATGACTGCACCATGAGGAGGCACAGGATACCGGGTATTGCAAGGTACCGAGCTTGCGGTGGTACCGGGGTTACCGAGGTAGGTAGCTTGGTCTCCGCTCGGTTTTTTCTCCAAAACGACACCTCCGCAGTGAATGCTCAGAGCATGAATCTGAACATGACTTTTCCCTAAAGCATCCTGATGAGCCAACCCTTGCTTCTTGGACCTTCTTGAAAAAGAAAGTGGGATTGCTTCAAACCGTGACATTTTGTATCGGTTTGGTTTGCACCCTTGTTGTTTGAGCGCTCTGCCATTCCCAACTGCTCAAATGACCCTTTGCCCAATTTAACTTGAGCAAATTTGCATGTGTGTTATCCAATCACTGCCTGCCTGAGTTCCTGATGAGGTATGCGATTGGCCCTCCAGCAGTACAAGCAGCGGAAGAGGAGGACGACGAAGATAGCCACCCGGCCTTCCAGCGGTACTCCAAAAAGTTTTTTCCAGCAGAAAGCTGGTCTAGAGGAAGAACCTGAAGGAATGTGAACTCCTTTTATTTGATGTGTTCCTTGCTACATTTTGCTGCCAGTTTGAACCGCGTGGTGAACAATGGGTAGCTTCATGCGACGACGTGATGATGTGATTTGAAGTCAAGAAAACACACCGGATCAAGCAGGCTGGAACTTTTGTTGACCCTAATAGATCTTAGTTTTAACGTTTAGTTTTGAACAACCAGACTTCCAAAAGCCTTTGACAGCTTAGAATGTTTTGTTCAGGTGAGGAGGAAGAGGCCTCTGAAGAAGAGGATGATGCCGAAGCAATAGTCACTTGGCTGGTTACCTGGTTGGTTGCAAAGAAAGATGATCTTCGATCTTCTGTGGCAGGATTTTGAGTCCAAGATAGTCTGATAGCATCTTAGCCTGATAGCCTTGTTCTTCCTTTTCCGCCTGCAAGAAGGGGGAGGCCTGGGAGGGCAATTCAGAACCTTCGCCAAACCTTCGCCATCAAGTGGAAGTCAAGGCTTTGCACCCTCACTTTGGGTTTCGACTCGGGTTTTCTCAGAGGCCACTGCCATGGCTGGCCACTTTGGCTCTGTTTGTTTAGGCTGAGGACACAGTTCAACGATCATACAGTCATACATTTCAAGAAGATCTAGCTCTTGATGCTGATGTGAGGCACCACTGAAATATTTGACATGTATCGGATAACCTCAAGTCCCCATTCTCCACAAAGCAGTCGCCATGGATGTGAGCGATGAGTATGCGCTTTGGCAGAGTCTAGGCTGGGCCTGGTAAGATGGAATGCGGAAAAGGCTCCTACAAGTATTCCGAAAGACATCCAAAGACTAGGATTCGCGGGCACGGCCAAGACGAAAGACATCAATCCATCATCTATGCAAACAAGAAGACCTCCGTGCAGCTGCTTCAGGGAAAGGGGGCATCACTTGGAATTCACGATTCAAGTCGCTGGGTGTGGCATCCCACCGCTTCTGGACCTCGGGACAGGTCATTGGTCGGTGTACGCGGAGTGGTTTGTTGCCTTGCTCTTGGCTGCAGCCGCCACTTGGACGTGGGTGGAGGGCCCTGTACAAAAAGTGAGTTTGGTTTGTTTTGGTTTGTTGCCTCGGGCTGTGATTTCGGATATATGATAAAGACTAGGCCAGCAGGTTTGCAGGTTCCGAAGACAGGTCGGTAGATGGAAGTCCTAGAAGTACTGTATCTAGTGTCCTTGCTCCTAGTAGTAAGGCCAGGAGCCCCTAGTAGCGTCCTTGCTCCTAGTAGCGATGCCAGGAGCCCCTAGTAGCGTCCTTGCTCCTGTCATTTGTAAAAGTCAGAACTTTTCCAGACTCAACTCCCCTGGAGCCACTCTGACTCTGATTGCCAGGCAGGACACCAGAGATATCCGATATGGTCAACCTAAACAAATTCGCGGCCTCGGTCCCGCGTTGCCCTCGCGGCCCGGTTTTAGGTGGCGAGTGCGTGGCGTGGTGCTTGGCTGGTGCTCGACGCGACTCTGTGGCCGCAGAGGTGCCACGGAGGGTGAAGTGCACCGGGCAGAAGGGACGAAAGGAAGGAAGAAGCATCAAGAAGCAAGATGAAGCCAGAATTTGGGGAGACTGAATCCAGGGAACTCAGATGTGCTCAGGGTATTTGAGGGTAACAATTCATGATTCTGTTGGTAAGTATCCGCAATTTTTTGCGCGATCATTGTGTATTCCTGATGCTTCGCGTCGACCGCCGCCCACACCTTCTTTTTTTTCGGTTGTCTGGGGAAAGACTGCTGGAGTGGACAGGGGAGGTCGGGAGTGGTGTCCAAAGAGATGGCTTGTTTGCCGCAGCGTCTATGGCCATGTTGCGGCTGATAAAGCCAATTCAGGCTCCAAGTTCGACCGTTTTGTGGCCTTGCCCCCGTTGGTTAGTCCACATTACATCATGTCAAGGCTAGCTTGATCGTTTGGTGACCCTGTGTTGAGGCTACTTTGGTTTTTTTGCAATAATGTACCTCCAATAATGCTGGTTATGCGTTGCTGGTCAGGAGGGTTTTTCAGCATCGTGGGTGTCCGTTTTTTGGCTTGTTTGGGTTCTTGCAGAAATAGTCCAAAAATCTACCTCCAAAACGCTCTCCACCATGGCCCTCGAGGCGTAACACGTTTTTCCCGAAACAAAGAAGGGCCCCCCCCCTAGGAGAGCTATGAACTGATTACGATGTGATGATTGACTGACGATGACTCCAGCTTGACCCGCCCCTAACACGCCCTGCACCGCAAGCGGTGTGGGCGGACTTTATCTATGTTTATCTACATGGTCGTCGATGATCAGTTCAATGGGGCTCCCCTTATGCGCGAGAATCCACTGTCACATTGAGGCCCCCCTTGCACCCTCGTGCATGCCTCGCTACTTTGACAGCTCGGCCCGGCTCCGCGCCGGAAGAAAACCATCCCCTCCGCCCTGGCGCGCGGGCGGATCTTGACGCCATGGCCAGCATTTTCGATGCCGCCGCGTCGGGCGACATTGGTGCCATGAACGGCTTTATGGATGCCGACGACTTCGAGGTCGATGCCAAGGATGCGCTGGGGAACACGGCGCTGCACTGCGCCGCGAAGAACGGCGAAGCGGCTGCCGGTGGACTGCTGGTGGAGTGCAGTGCTGATGTGAACCTGGTGACTCGGCTCAGACGAGTGAAGACGTTGGGGGGTTCCCATCATGATGAGCCAGATGAACCAGTCCAGGGAATTCTAGATGTCGAGTGTCTGGCTCTTTCATGTTCGAAATTTATTCTTTCATATGTTTTTCTTCCAACTTTTCTTCTTTGCAACTTTGCACTTCAGCCTCTTTCCTCGCCTTTTTAGGAGGATGCGCATGGGAATACTGCACTGATCTTGGCGGCCATCCACGACAAGCGGCTTGTGGCCTCTATGCTCCTGTGGGGTGGCGCCGAACGAGACCTGCAGAACAAGAGGGGCAACACCGCCTTGCACGAGGTCAGACCTGTTTTATTTGATTCTCCCGATAATTTATTTGAGGTCTCTGGAGTTTCTATGTTTTTAAGAAGAGCAGACGTGTTGAAATTATGTAGTAACACATATCACATATTTATATGTAATTCTCAGTCATGTTTGTTCTATCAAGTTGGGGGAAGGCCATGTACGGGTGAACCCAATCTTCAACACCAAGTCCCCCAACGCAATGCATCCAGCGCATCTTATTGACACTCCAACAACTTGCGACAAGGCGGCGATCAGTGGTGCAAAGGATGTGGTCTATCTCATCGTGGAGAATGGGGGTGAGAGATCTGTGAGGCCAAATCGAAAGTGATGTGCCAAGATGCTTCTTCGGTGACCAATATATCATCAGCATGGGTACTGTGTGAATTCTGGATGGGCCATGGGTACTGTAAGGTTTGTTTTGCCTGTACACGTGGAACCGGAACCTCGCTTGTTCACTGCTTGGAATAGATAGTTGTTTTTGGCAGCCGGATGATCAAATTGGTCGGTCGAGACTTGCAACTGTTTCATGTCAAGATGGTTCACAGGCCTTCAGTGCATCTGGCTAGTCTTTGGCCTTGCGGCTCAGCTTGTTGCCTCAGAAATCTACTCACCCACCTCAGGAAACACTCCGAATTATAGACTGCCTGAAGCATTGAAACACATCAACACCTTTGTTTAAAGACCAAAGAGGGAGCCTTCAAACCAAGAACGAGCCTTCTGATATGCTTTTCTTCATCCAGTTTGCACCCTCCAAACTTGGAGGATCAAGAATGAAGATGGGAAGACGCCCTTAGATTTGGCCCATGAGAAGGGTGCCAGTGCTGAGCTCATCGAGCTGTTGGAAGGGGCTGAGAAGGAGATGCAAGTCTATGCAGCCAAGGCTGAGAAGGCTGAAAAGGAAAAGGCAGCTTCGAATGACATGATGAGCCCAGACTAGGTTGAGGTGAAGACAGCCGCGAGAGTCAGTGACAGCTAATGAATCCATACATCCTAAAACATGAAGGTTTTTACCAGGGCCAGGGCTTCTAAACTTCCAACAGCTGTGCACATAGGAACTCTCATCATCACCGTCCTCACCTGCCGTTTTCGGGCTCCTTTCAAAGGAAGGAATACAGCCCCTGCATACAGCCCCTGCCCAAACCGCCCAGTTCGGCTGCTGAAATAGACGTGGCCATTTTCGCGCAGAGAGCAGCAGACGGAGCATCAGAGACAGTGCAGAAAGGCCAGCAAAAAGGGGTGAAAGGCCGTGTGCCATCGGTCATGGCAGCAGGAAGTCTGTTTGATTGGCGCATCAGTCCGCAGATCCTGCAGCGGACGTTCGCACTCGTCGACCGGTCAACGCACTCGCAGCGGACATCCGCGGATGTCCGCGTCTCTGAGCGGCATTGACCAAGAGCGGTGAGTTCTTTGAACATCTCTGAACGTTTGGTCCAAAGCCCTTTGTCTTCCTTTGGGACCACTGGGAACGGAGTGGATGGGCGGTAACTTCTCCGAGCCCAGCCACAGTTGGGAAGGCAACTCGATGCTTTTTAGATATCTTGCCCCAAGGAAAGCAGCACATGTCAGAAGAGGTATCCTCACATACCCAATCCTCTTGCCTCAATGACGACTTCAATTTCCTTTTGCCTCTTGCATCATCTCTTCCAAACCCACCATCTCCACCATCTCCATCACAGACCCGCTGCCTCCGCAGCGCTGGGCCTCGGCTGGGGCGTGGTTCTCTTCGGGATCTTGGGCGACCCGACGGACGCCGTGTCGCCGTGTCACGCGGGAGCCGGGACTGGTGTTCTTGGCCGGGGAAGATCGAGGATCGATGGCCGTGCTGCGTGCTGCCGGGCAAATGTTTCATGGAATCACCCAGATGTTTCTTTTGTGGTGGTGGGGTTTTGTTGGTTGGAACTGTTGGGAGTTTTACTTCTTTTTGTTGGCCCATTGTTCTTGACCTTTGCTGCTAGGTGTGTTCTGCGACCACAGAAGAATAGAGCAGACACAAAGTAATAAATTGAACTGCATATCAACAACTAACAAAGACAACAAGACGGTAGGACAACACCAACGGCCAGCACCAATAAGGCTGGATCCGCTTGTGTGATCTTGTATGCATGTAAATTGTAAATGTACCTCAGGCCGTAGGATGTTGACTCTCAGCATTGAATGGATGGAATCACACACACACACTGGAGAACTGAACTTGGTACTGAATTCAAAGATTGTATAATGTTAGTTGATAGAACATGACATTCTATTATATCACATATTCTATTGTAATAGCAAAACGCATTAAACCAGAATGAGATATGAACCACCAAGGCTTCCTGCAGCCTTGCCTCGCTGCGGTGGCGAACCGTGTGCGCCACCGCCGGGTCTTGTGGCTGGTGGATGCGGCATACAGCGCCTTAAGCCTTAACTGGGCTGTGGATTTAGTAGCAAGTGCATTGCTACTACTGGAGTAGCTTCTAGCCACTAACAGCGATGCCCTTGTTACTAGTAGCTTAAGGACATGGATTCGGGTCTTTCTAGTAGCTGGTTATTGAACAGATGATGAACTATGCGATGCTTGAGGTCATACTGGCTTTCTGTATTCTGAATAAAGACGACACTTGAACATGTGTTTCTTGCTTTACAATTGGTCTTGGTGATGCTACTCCAAGGGCCAAACAGGTGTCCTGAACAAGGATCCGGATCCGAGCGGATCCGGTCGATCTTTGCGGATCCGGTCGATCGGTCAAGACCAGAAGACCTTGGCAACACGACTTGCGGTGTTATCAAGTGAAGAGCGCACCCCATACATCCCTTGAAACTCGGCTTCGGGTCAGGATACCTTGGTAACACGACAAGCGCAACGGACTTTCAGCGCACCCCTTGATACAATTGTGGTATCGGGTATGAAGGGGTTGAACAAAAAATGGATGATCCTAGAGTTGAACGCAGGCGGAATGAATTTGAGGTTTCAATCGTGCATCAATTGGACGTTTAATATGTCGTGGTTTGCCAATCTAACTTAATTAAGTATGGATGAGATACGACTTGTGCTTGTGCTTCCTTTTTCCCACACTTTCCACTTAGTTTAAGTTTAAATCTAATCTGAAAGGGAATTTTTGAATGTGGCGGGAGAAGTCAAGATTTATCGAAGTGTCTGTATGAAACGGTGGGCGTTGATTATTGTGATTCGAGTCGACTGTATATACTTGGTATTGCATCGCCAAGGTCATTTCCCTGGGCAGCGGAATGATTGGGCGGAATGGTATAATTCCACAGCAGATTCGTCTATTAAAACACAATCTTTCTGAGCTTTTCGCGCCTTGTTGTTTATAACATTCCTGTGAAGGCCTTAATATATTCGAGGATGACCTACCTGGCAGGTCAAGATACATGGACTGGTCGGGCTCCAGGATTTGACCCATCCCCAGGTCCCCATGTCAAGAAACGGAGGGACCCAGATGTGGAGTGGTTGCAAAGGGAAGGGACATCAGATGTCTCATAGATTGATGCAAGCTCATGAAGAAGTTGCCTCGGTTCGTCAAGGCACCGTCCACCATTTTGGGACAAGGACACTAAGGGCATTGACATCTCGGTGTAATTAGTTTGCAGACCAGTTCCATGTCGAGGTAATCGAAGTTGAATGACCAGCTTTCCTTATGACTCCAAACTTAGGTCAAAAGTCTTGCCCTCCATGGTTCGTAAAGGATGCTGACACGTCCATGGATTTGTTGTCAAGAATCGTATCATACACCAACTATTCAAATCATCCATTGGAATCATCCATGATGGTCTTTCGCCCTTTCACCCAGGCTATGCAGGCTTTTGGTGTTGCGTGCTGGTATGGCGTGGCGCATGGCAACTGTGGGATGCTGCGCTGGGGTTCTTTGGAGCTATAGACACCTCATGGTCCGCAAGTCCTGTGACCGCAGGTGAGCATAGTCCACTCACACCTCAACAACACCCAACCCCCTGCCAGGTAGTTTTGGAGCGTTTGTACCTGTTTGCCGGAGGTCTGGAAAATGGAACCCTATGTCCGACTGTTAATCTCATAAATATTCCGTGTTTGCTTTCACAAAAGAAGAGCAGAACAGAGCAGAACCAAACAATACAACACACACACACCATGCATTGATGATCACACTTGCAAAGTCGTGCTGGCCCAGAAACTTGGGCTGCTGGACTGCCCCCAGTTCCCTCCTTCCATATCCCTTTCCACCAGTTCCCGCAATTGCTCAGTGTTTTGATTGGAGTGTCAATCCCGAAGGCTAAGACTCACACCTTCCCCCCGTTGGGACTAGCGGAGCGCAGCGACTGGATTCACTCGGCTGAAACTCGAACTGAACCGCAAGACAGACAGACAGACTTGGGTGTGTGTTTGAATAGGGAGACAACGAATTGGTTTTAGTCCAATTTTCCTTCTTCCAGAGGTTCTTTGGAAGGACTGCCTATTTTTTATACGCATCCACTTATATAACTTATGTACTATATACGACATCGACTCATGCAACTCTGTGCGGGCGTCCAGACAACTCCTCCTTGAGAATCGTTTCGGACGGTCGCCAGTCGCCAGCCGGTCCGGTTTTTCATGCCCTTCGAGCTGTCAATTTGTTGCCCAGAAGACAAAGGGACATGTTCGTTTCCGAAACGAGTCTTCCAAATTTCCAGCGAGGCCTGTTCCACTTTCTTTGCTTTTCAGATCTTTTGAGAGGGTATAGGCCATACCACTGCGAATCCATGCCAGTTGAAACCTGATCCGGTCTAGGCTGTCAACCTAGAAGGTTGAACCAAGAGGAACATGGCGGTACATATGGAGTTTTTTTGTATTACTATATTCATGAACAGAGTGTTACATCCTTAGATTAGATTGTCTTCGGTACATAATATGGGGGTACATATATTCTAAAATATTCTTAGACATCCTTTAAAACTTCCTTCCAAGATTGTATTGCGCCTTCTTGAAGTCTCCTCACCGACCAACTAAGGTTCCTTCCAGAGTCCCACGAAACGGGTCCTGCCAACATGCGGGGAGCATGGATGAGCCATTGGGTTCCTTGGACTGAAAAAAGAAAGCCAACACATTTCCGGTTGGGCTTTGGACGGGTGCTGCTTTCCAGTAAACCTTTGACGGATCTGCCGCGACGGTGAATCTTGGCTCCACAGAGGAAGCTGGGAGGCCAACTGCCTCCCAATGATTTCCTCACAAGTGGTGGGCCAGGCGTTATGCACATGAATCATGATGAAGAGACAGATGACCTCGAGAATACATTCGCTAGCGAACTTGTTCATGTTATTCTTCTTTTTTAGATCCAAGCCTCTATCCGATATATAGTTCGGCAATTGCAGCACATGTTTTTTTCCACAAGGACTGTGTCTTCTTTCTTTGTCTTCTGGTTTGGTAATTGATCAGCACGCTTTGGTGAAGATGCAAATGATGTGTATTGGCTGCCCTTGCAATGCTAGGGATGCAGCATGGCCCCAAACAAAAACTTGAAATTAGGAGTTCAAACTTTTGGTGACCAATCACTTTGCCCCTTCCTCGCGCGGCAAAAGCTGCCTTTGAGGTTGGTGTGTTCGTGGTCCTTTGTGCTGGGGGATTGAGAAGCCTCAATGCTCCGCCCATGCTGATTTTGTCCGCAGCTTGCCTGCAAGTCAGCAGGATTCTTTGGACTCGAACCTGCATTGTTTTTGTTAAAGCCTGTCAGACTTGGGGTTGATAGCAGTTTCAAGACTGAAGATCTGTTATTTCTTCCAACTTTGAGGCCTCCTAATCGCATTTTGGAGGACCAAATGGTGATGGCGCAAGCAACCAACGCAAATGATGGTAGGTGAATCTTTGCCGGTAGGCCATTCTCTTGAATCTTTCCGATGTGAAGCATCCTCGGATGACATGATCCACACTCCAACCACCAATCCATGGGTGAAATATGTGAAACTCACTCTTTGCGCAATAGACTAGAGCTGGCACAAGTCACCCATCTCCAGCTGCACCTCTTCGCTCGTCTTCTGAGGACACCCTGCCGCCCCTCTTTGGCGCGCGAGCGACCTGTGGCCTTCGCGGCTTCTCGCGGCCACTGGTACGCTGCCGCGAGCCGCCCCAGCTCATGCCTTGCCAGAAGTGGCATGAGGCCCTTGGAACACCATGTTGAGAGTTGAAAGCCAGACCAACCCCTCCAGCTTTGACCAACTTGTCCAGCTCAGCTAACCAAAATGCACTTCCAATCGATGAACCAAGTCCAGGTATAAGTCCGAGAACGAAGGCTACCTTTGGCGAAGACCTTTACTCTCATCATCCACTGTTGGCTGGAGACCCGTGCTATCTAAGACTCTTGGGGCTTTGCAAGTGCCTAAGACCTGAATGGCCAAAGGCTCCATGCTAACAGCGACATAGATGTGGAGCATGGCCCCAACAATGCTTTGCCTTCGTTGATGACTGGTGTAAGCCTGAACCATCCGAAAAGCTCAGCAGCCGCAGGTCGTGGGGCTTATGGAATTGAAACACGGCACCGCCGCATGGCACCGTCTGTCAGGTCGTGGGGCTACCCTTCCATTCTCAGGAGCCCAAGGGTTGTGAAGCGACGCCGGAGGCCAATGCCTCCCCAGTGGCAGGAGCCTTTGGAGATGTTCCGGGCATGTCTCCCTCCATCTCAAACTTATAAGGGCGGCCAGTCTCTGGGCCCGAAATGGTGAGGGCCTGAGAATGGAGGGTGTGGAGCAGGTCAGGGTAGAACAGAAGATGAAGATGGTTGATCTGGCTGGGACTTTTGTGAGGCATCATCAATGAGCCTATTGTAGGTTGTTCTTCAATTGAACGGACAGATGGCTCCTTTGCAAGATCAACATTTCATGATTGTTGGTTGAAGGAAAGTTCTTCGTTTGTCCTCTCATTTTGCATCGACCTGCCAGCAAGTTGCACTGTTCGGTTCGCCAGAAAGTCGCGTGCCGACATGCTGCCCAGCAGAGGGCCCCACTGAAGCCAATTTTCCGCACTGTAAGCTAAACGAAGTAGATTGACCGGTGGGTTCGCGTCATAGCTGACAGAAGCAGAGGAGCTTGCTGCCGGGAGTTCCTACTTCGATTGGGGTCAGGTTGTCCCTCCAGGAACATGTGTAAGCGGTCAATTTTGCAATAAATGGACGCTACTAGGGGCTCCTGGCCTTACTACTAGGAACAAGAAGCTACTAGGAGCAAAGGGCACCGCTACTAGAAGCAATAAAGCTACTAGGGGCACCCAACGAATCAAAGTCTCTTTTCTGATGGATCAGCATCCAGGTCTAGCTCGAACCACACTGCTTTGTTTGGCTGTGGCCAAGAAGTAGCCAAGTTCTGGTGCCGTTTGGGCACATCGCTGTTCTGGAGGTGGGGCCCCTTGTGGGACTTCAACTGGTCCATGTAGCTAGATGGACTTGAATCACCCCAACGAACTCACATGGAGGTGGAACATCTTTCCCAAAGCCGCTCTCGACCATGACGCTCACAAAAGAGATACTGCAGGAATAGTGTCCCTCCCTGGCTTATGATTACAATATCAGTATTTGCCCATGGTATAGTCAGTTAAAGTTCCACTTCTGTGTGATGTCGTGGGGTGTCTTTCGTCCTCTTGTCTGAACCACTTCTGCGCCGCCTCCTCTTGTGATGGTGGTGGCGATGGGAGTGTGGCGATGGTGCTGATTTTTCACCGCGGCGAAGTTCCCAAGGATTGCCACGGACATCGCACGATCGGCCAGTCGGTTGTTTCGGCAGTGCTGATGTGCAGAAGTTTGTTATAAAACACCTTTTTCGTTTGGGTCATTCGTGGGGGAAATCCAGGCTTGGAATATAAACATGATCAACACTGCCCGAATGTGCAAAGTGAAAAAGATTGTGGCCACACGGCCTAGTTAGAGCAGTGAGAATCTGTGGAAAACCTGAGCCGTGCAGGTGCTCAATGACCAACATGCCATTCTGTAGGTTGGTGGTGACATGTGGATATCCGTTCTTGGGAAGGATAGGTTGAAGTTTAATAACTACAAAACCAAAGACACGTTTTGAAGGGTTTATGCAGCGACCAGTAAGGGTCTTTTCATGTTCCATCATGCAGCGACCGCTCCTCGGCTCTGAGGCGATGCAGGAGCGCCTGGCGGCCTTGTTATTGGAAGTGGAACACCATGGAGGCGGAAGGATGGGTTGGATGGCTTGGAAGATAAGGAAGACCATAAGATGATGAAGATAGGACTGCAAAAACAAGACCAACTCAGGAGTTTTATAACATATGTATAGTTGCTCGTTGGCGTGTATTATGTTGAATGCCGGGGCCCTGTGGGGCCAAATGCCCAAAGTATGGAGAAATCATGAAATCGCTGGAATTGGTCAAGCAAAGCACACAATGAGAGGATGTTTGCACCGGTGGGCAAGTTTCTTGGGCAGGTGCAGGTTTAGTGGAACATTAAATGGTACGCAGCCTTGCTACATCGCGAAAAATGCAATGGCAGTGATTCATGTGATTCTCCCCTACTCGTTCCACAGCAATCGGTCCACCTGGGAATTTCGGTCCACCGGATCGTCGACCGAGACTCGCGACGAGACAACCGGGCTAGGCGATGGACGGAAGAAGCTATCTCCAGAAGAGATTGAGCAGAAGAAGAAGGAAGCCGAAGAGCTTGGTGGGGACGCCTTCGGGTTCGGGGAGAGCATTGTCCCAATGTCCACACACACAGATCCTGACCACAAAAAGCGCACCTGTTCCACGGAAATGACTGCTTCGCCAAAACCACCACCAGCTCACGCAAAAGAGCGTATCCCACTCCCAGGCCCCTGCTTTGTGTGACCTCGCATTGCTGTGAGAGCAGATCCAACCGGACCGGTCTTTTGGAGGGACACCTCTCGGTGTCCAAGCATGTTTGGCGCATGGACCAAACACTTTCTCAGAATTTCTCAGCCATTCCTGTCGATGTGGTTGTGCTGACAATGTGTTTTTATGTTCACCAGAGGAGAAACAACTCCCAAAAGCTGAGGTGATTTGAGAGGTGTCACCCCAAGTTTCCAGTGATAGCGAGGTGACAAGTTCCGGCAGCTCTCAAAGAAGGCCAGGCTCTTTCCGCGTCAGCGGAGCGTTTCGTTTTTTTTTTTTTTCGGCGAGCCCTTTGTCGAGGGAGGTTGGTCCAGATCCAAAGGGGAGAAAAAGGACAACCTGCAAAGGGCCGTGTGATGGACTCCGAGGCAAAAAAGGCCAAACCACCTTGCGAATCCTTCACCACCGAATCACCAGGAGCGAAGTGAGATAAACAAGACCCGCAAGGCCAGGCCGCTGGGCGATTCGACCGCTGCGCGACTTCACCGCTGCGCGACATGGCTCACGACGGGTGGGATCCACTGATCCACACACTAGTAACAATAAGCTACTAGGAACAAGTGCATCGCTACTAGTAACAAGTGCCTTACTACTAGTAACAATAAGCTACTAGGAACAAGTCACGGGTCATCGTCGTCGATCGGCGCCAGGAACGCGCTGGGCAGCGCTTGGCCAAGACGGGGTCGAAGAGCCGGAAGTTCGAGGGGGAAGGTGCTACTTCCAAGGAGACCGGAGCATTTGGAAACGAGAGAAAACGAGTTCAACAAGGAATATGTTGTGGGATGTTGTGGGTCTGTGAAGGCGACCTTTTTGGTGCCATGATGTGTCATGTGGAACCGGAAAGGTCTGCGAATCTTTCATGGGAGATTGCAGGTGTGCCTTTGCGTTTCACGCCCTTAGTAGGAAGTGTTAGCAGCGAGGTTCAGAAGGTCAGACATACTGCATCCACAAATGAATACAAATGATAGTTCTTAATGGTTGTGTATGAATATGCCATGCAGATCACCCTTAACTGATGTTACATATTTTACAATGTTCATTTGTGTTGTCAGCTGCAGATTAGTAATCTGAGATTGCCAGTGCCAGCTTCTGTGCAGCCGGAGACTGTTTCATTTTGTTTCGATCTTGAGAGACTTCAATGGGAGGATGTTCTTTTGGCACGATGTGTCAACACGGTCGGGGGCCAGGAGGACAAAAAGAAGAAGAACAAGGAGAACGTCAAAAAACGCACCACGACTGCAACGCCATGTTTTGAGTCTTGCGTGTGTGACATGACCTGCTTCAGTGGCATCTTCACATCTCCCACGTGGGTCTTCCTTCCAGATTCATGTAGTCTTTCAGAATTCCACGGGGGCTGAGCTTGAAAAAGTCTGATGTTGCTTGGTAGGTGCACGTAATTCTAACATGGAGCTGGATAAAAAGATCAGGTTCCAGCATGTTCGAGCTTGGATCCGCCACCATATGATTATTATATACTTGTGGTTTCATGAACACAATTGTCAAAACATCTCAGGCCCCCTTTTCTGGGAGTCGACGAAAAGAGTTGCAAAACACCTGTGCAAGCATCTGAGTGCCAGGCGAAGTGACCAAGTTTGATCAAACGAGAACCCTGGCACCGCACCCCACTAAGCCTTGCCTGCCTAGGTTTTGGATTGGCCTGAGCATGACCTGCTGCTTGGGAAGCTGAAGACCTGCCAAAGCTAGGGCTTGTTCATTCATCGTCCTGTTTTAGGGTTGGAAACAGTTTGGAAACAACCGATTTCTTCGCTTAGAAGGTTGACACGTCATTCCTTCTCAAGTTGCTGTGGCCAAAGAACCTGACTTGTGGGTGTCCAACTCTGTTTCAGGCACATCTCTTTTTGGAGTCCAAGCACCAAGCAGGGCAAGAACCGCACAGCAATAGTTTGTGCCGGTTTTTGGCTGATCTCTCTTGGCTGTATGGCATGCAGGGTTGATTTTCTTTTTAGGCACAATCTTTCATCATGACTCGGCAGTAAGCAAAGCTCCTCTAATGTGGTTCCACTCTGGCAGAAGCTCATTTTTCAATGTGTTGCCCCACATTTCCACTTGCAGCCTATTGGGGGCTCAGTTAGGGGCTCATATCTCAAGCGAGTATAGGAACGCCACTAAAGAGGAAGAATACAAAGCAGAAGAGTAACCTGTAGTAACCTTATCCATAGTTGCTACTTTCTGTTTCTTTTTGCTTACATTTTGAAGCTGACACCTTAACTCTGGTGGTTTTGGGTCAAGCAGTGCCACCGGCAACCACGAGGGCCCAGTTCGGTGGGTCGGTGTACAGCCACCAAAAATGGGCGACTGAGGAAAGGCAGGAAACGGAGCAGCTGACGTTCTCCGTGAGAAGTTCCCACACGCGTGTTCAATGATCTGGACAAGTGCAAACTGGACATGGAGAAATGTCGTCTTCACCAATGTTGCTAGAACGCGTTTTCGGTTGGTGTGGCTGACGGAGCTGATACCAATACTTCCTGGCCTGGTACAGACCAAGTAATGCTAGTGATGCTGATGTAGTGTTGTTAAACAACCAGCACCATCATATACAATGTAAATCCATATACAATCATGCAGTTTGGCGTGAACACTGGATGAAGATGCACGAAGTATCTAGTACGGTGGAGTGGCTCAAAGACTCTAGCCCGTTCTGCCGCAGATCAAAAAACATCATGGCTTTCCGCTTGACTGGACTTTTCGTGACTTTTCTATATAATGTGTGAAGCTGCGCAAAGGATGTTGGAATAGAGTGCAGCAAAGCAGGCTGCAAACTGCCAAACAAGAAGATCAAAGTTGTGTGGCGCGCACGTGTAGCGCGGTCTTGCCATGGTGTGTTTGCAGACCTTGACTGGAGATTTCCAGTGCTGGACTCATCGTTGCAATTCACGTAGATGCGAATCTCATGAGAAGGTCACCACACTAGAGTGAGCGTCAATGCCAAAGACTCGTTGATTTGCGCCAGTGAACCCCAAAACCATCAGGGCTTAAACCAAGCGCCATGATCCAAAGCCGCTCTTTGGACGTTCCCAGGTGTTCTGGCCTTGGGCTGGGTGCGCGCATGCGCGGCTCGCTTCTGCGGGTGAACTCGCTGGCGACTCGCTCCGCCTTTGAGGAGTGCTCGCATTGGTGTTGAGTGTAGTACCAATTGGGTACTCAGGTGGTTTTGCTCGCAATATCTTTAAGGATCAAAAACTGTTCCAATTTCATGCACTTTCATGCACTTTTTTAGGAAGCTGAGAATCGCGTGTCCAATCCATTGTAGGCCGAGAGGTGCTTTGAAGGTTGGCCAGATCAATTTGCTTTGAGGAGAGTCATGGAAAAAGGGAAGGATTCACGCACCTCTCCCAACTCAAGACTTTCATCACCCAGACGCTCCCATTGGGTGGTTTCAAGGGTCAATGTATATACAAAAACTATGCACACCGGCGATGCCCACGGGCACAGAGTCAGTTTGGACAGACCTGACTACAAGCCATTCTTAACACAGACGCTTCCTCCCCGGAAATAGGGCAGAAAAACATCAAACGCGCAGAATTTACGAGTCTTTTTGCATTTTTGCGGGAGCAAAAGCTGTAAACACCGATGGTGCGGCAAGTGCGGCAAGTGTTTTTGAGTTTTCTGCAAAAAACGATATTTACAGTACACCTTGCTTATTGAAGCGAAAATTGCAAGAACACAATATTTTACAGTGTTTTGCTCCTTGGCGCGTGCCGAACAAACAGCCCAAAGCCGTCCCCCAAATCTGGTCCCTTCCAGATCCATGATTTTTGCTCGAGTTGTATTTACCCTTCTCACAGCGAAATTGTCCATCGGCCTTGGTGGCGGAAAAAAGCATCTCCCCCACCCAACTCAAGGATTTTGACGCGTTTCTCATTTTGCGGACTTTGAGTCGCTCAAGATCCAAACAGGGCCCGAAATGCAGGCGAGAGCGGCGGTCTTTTAAGGCCAGATGCAAAAAACACTGCAAAGCACAGGTCGGCGGCAGGGGACACCCCTAGTTGCAAACTAGCCTTAGATACGCAACGGCACGGCATCGCCGGTTTTCAAGGCTTGCGCCTAAGAGCAGGCCGCGCACAGTCAGGCGCCGGCGTGGGCAGGGCAGGTGCAGGCGCCCTTCCTTTTTCTCTTTCCTCTTGTTCTTTCTCTTTCTCTGGCTCCTTCTCTTGCTCTTGCTCTTCCCTGTTCTCTTCCTTTTTCTCTTCTTTTTTCACTGTCAAGAAGAGCAAGCGGAAGCACAAAGTGCTGATAATGCAAGGCTACTCGGGCAGCATATCTAGCACTATGTGCCTTTGAAAACGACTTCGCAGCCATCAAGATATCAATCATCGACCTACCGTGGAGCTATCTTGAAGCCATTTTGAAAAATGCATCCGTCCACGCTCTCCGAAGTGGCCTGCGAGGATCCAGGTGCCTCCGATAGAGTATGCCCGCGCTGGGTCGGCAGTGTCGCCGCCCTACCTCCGGCAGAAGTGCTTCCGGCGGCGCCACAGCCTATCCAGCCGTTTTAAGGGCTGACCCCTCCGGCCGCAGCAAGTAAGACAAGACACCTGCTGAACAAGCAGGATGCTGCACAAGCGCTGTCTCTGTCTTACTTGCTCCGAGTATGTAGTAGTCCGTGGTTTCAGATGTAGTCAGTTTGATCTTCAACCTTTACTTGACTACTTCCCCACGATTCCAAAGGATGTATTTCGTATAGTCAAGCGTTGCTGGCCTATACCGCGTCTTGCTGGCCCACACCGCGTTCCAGCATGCTATATAGTTGCGGGGTTGGATTTTATGGGCGTTAGTGCAGGGAATGGAAAGGCGAGCATGGGGCATGGAATAGGCGCTGCTTCTGCTGGCTGCTGCTGCTGCTGCTGGATCTCAAGGCTCCCGCCAAGGTCCTTCGCCACAGCTTCACACAATCTAAGAATCTAATTCCACACGCCTCGAAGCTGATCGGTCAGTCCAAACGCCGCTTTCTGACGGCAGTAAAAACTTCTCAAAAGCCATTCTCGAGACAGGGCCTGCCTCCAAAGCCATAGATTGTTATTCTGTAGAGGAAAAAGAGAGCTCTTTCCAGAAACCATGGGAAATACCCAAACCACCTGCTATTTTTTGAGCTACCCCAAGCAAACCTGGGGCCCATCCTGGAATGCTAAAGTGGGAGGGGGTGTCACCCTTTCCAACCTGGGCCGAGTGGAAGGCAGAGCAGCAGAGAAGGTATGTTTGCTGCTCTCGTGCCCGTGGTTGGCAGCCAGACAATGATGGTGAGACGGGGGACGAAAAGCGGCATGTGAAGCATGGCAATGAGCAGGATCATGGGCCAGCTGGGCTGAACTCCCGACGACGACATCACTACAATGTGGTGGAGATTGTCAGCCACTCCAAGCAGTTGTTTCCTGACGCCACTAAAAATCCTGTTCCTTTTCCTTCTCTAAAGCCATTCCCTAGACCCGTATAGAAGCAGAGCCATAGAGCCTGTCTCTAGAGCCATGGAGCCATTCTGAATGCTGCCGGCAATCTTCTTCGCACAGCTTTGCGCAATCTAATTCCACACCAAAAATGACCAAAAACTAGTCCTTGAAGCTGATCGGTCAGTTCCAAAGGTTGCTTTCTGATCATTTTTAAAACCATTCTCTAGAGCGATAGAGCCATTCCGGCAATCTGCTCCGTCACAGCTTTCTACAAACCAATTCCCCACCAAATATGACCTAAAACTAGTTCTCGATTCGGCAACCATCTCATCGACCCGACACCAGGCAGTGTCCTCTTGCGCGCTCCCCCCAAAAGCGGGGTCGGCGGACATAACTGTCAACATTGACCCTTGAAACCAATGGAGGCATATGATTTTTTTCACGGAGTGTTTGGGTCGGTTTCGGCGAGCCCTCAGCCTTCACCCGAAACATTGAGAGCAGGACTCAGAGCTTTCGCAGGCCTCGTCCTTCACAGTGCCTTGGTGGTGTGCAAGCGGTCTGAAAAGAACTGCGATGCCCGGCGATCTTGGTTGTTCACCTGACGGTATGTATATATATATATAATAATGTTATATATACACCAACTGCTATAAGGGCGCTTCTTGGATTGTAGTTTTGGGTTTTCGTTACACTGCAGTTTTCCTTCGTAACACCTTCCACCCGGAACCGCAACAGTGAGGCTATAAAGCTCAAGCGCAAGGGCCGCACGGCCGAAGGCCAGGACCTCGTGGGTGTTCGCTGGGGCTTCACCTGGCTTGGGAGTCCTGGCAATCAGCTGCTGTCAAGAGTCATCCTTGGGATGAAAAATGTTTTGCAACACACTGCGCAAGGTCACGCCTGCGACTGTACGGTACGGCGCCCCACGGGGGAGCTCCTTGTCGGTCGCACCATCACGGTTCCTGGATCTTCCAGAAGCCTGCTTGTTGTACATATGGTCATCTGGAGGTCTATCATAGTTTGGGGCCTGATATAATCCTAGAATCTGCCAATAACGCCAATAAACACGGCACTCCTTGCGCGCCGCTCCCTGCCGTGCCATCCCCAGGATAAACCGACCAAGAAGGAAGCGGAGGCGAAACATTGTGAAACGATGGTTTTGGCCGATGTAATTCACTCGCACTAAGATGAAAGTGGACAAAGGGCCTATTGAACCATATATTACATATATAACCCTCATGTTTGTGTTTGGTAAGGATTTTAGTCATAAGAGCTGGTTGCGGAAGGAAGATCCTGCAGTGCGGTCTGGCCTAAGGTTGTAAGTCCAACCCTTTTAAAGCTGCATAAGGTTCGGACTTGATCAAGAACTAAATGTTTTGCAATTCGCATTTAGCACTGCATGGCAAAGCTTTGGTTAGAGTTTAGTCGTGTTTACTGGTGCTTGGTTTGGGTTGACGGGCCTTATGGCGTTGATTTGTTCCGAAGAGACTGTGGTGTTGACTTGTTCTAGTTGAGAGATCTCCCTTTTGGATTGGATGAGTGTGGCAGCCTCAAGCCATCTCAAGCCCAAGACCCTGCTATTGTTATAAGCTCACCAAGTGGAGGCGAGTCAGCGTCAGGCGCGGGTAAGCTCCGCGTAGGCAGCGCGTAAGTCTCATGTCCATCCATGAGCTAGTAGCCCACATGGTTCCCCAAGCCAAAACCTGTTGCCAACTGCAGCGGCGCCAAGTAGCAACTTTTGAAGCTCCATTGTTGTACCAAACAAGTTACGTAAACTTATGCCTTGCAGGTTCAAACAACCGTGTAAAATCCAGCTGCGCAAGGATGGCGGAAGCATCTATATAGTTCCCTCCTCATGCCGCACAAGAAAAACTGCAGAGCGCGTAGGAAAAACGTAAGCGCTGCATAAGTACCCTCTTACGATATAGGAATCTACCAAGCTTTTCAGCAAAGCTCTATTGGAAGCTCAGTTGTTTAAAGAAGAGGGCTACTTCCGATTTTGGGGGACCTCACTTCGTCCAGTAGGGCCGCTACTGGACCCATTTTGAGAAAAGGCTTCCAGCGGTTTCAAGTTGTTTCAGATTTTATAAGGATGATGAAGAGTGTTGGAGAGAAGCTAAACCATAGTTCAAGTGAAGCGCCGAGCCTTTTCAGACTGTCTCATCAAGAGAACGATGTGCTCGACGATCAAGTGAGCTGCGCGACAGCCCACAGGCTTCACCCCTCAACCTCTTCAAGAAGGACCAGCCGCATGGCCGGCGCGCGCGCCCCGTGCTCTTTTGGGCAGTTGCCTCGTTGGTGTCAGGGCAGAAAAGCTGAAGAAACCAGGTTTGGCCAAGGATTTCTTCGCTCAAAATGCCAGGAGCTTCCCAAGTCCCTGGGAGATTCCGCAGTTGGATGAATTTGCCACCAATCCTTTTGCCACACCAATTGACAAGGCTCTCTAGTTTCAGCCCACCCCTTGACTCCTGCTTGCATCCCAGGAAGAAAAGTCCACAGACCAGCTGGCAAAGGTCTGTGATGGGCTGCGCTTGGTGTGGGTAGGTGAGCCCAAAATAGTTTGAAAAGTCAAGTTCCTCCTCGAAAGTGCATTGGCAACCGTATCTATCACTGTCTATATGTTTCGTTACTTCATGTTACTTCTATTGATTGCAGGTCGATGGGGTGCTTAGAATATCGAAACTTGGTTGTCCAGATCCATCAAAGAACGGACAGATCCATCAACACAGTGTGACATCCACATACTGTAGTGTATCCACTTGTCAATCATTCTCTGTGGTGACCAGCACTGAGCAAGTTTTGGAGACTTCACCAATTATCGTGCAGAACTCAAGCCATTGCTTACAAGCAAACAAGAGCAGCTTGTATCCTCATGCCACATTGCCACCTGGAAATCCATCCCAAAGTTGTGCCTCCTTTGGCATCAATGTAGGCCACCTCCAAACCGTTCAACTCATCGGAACCGGGTTCCGAATCGACCGGGCCTTCCGGTGTTCGAAGGTTGTTGCGATGCGGAGCCACTTTCTGGTTCCTTCTCAAACAGGGCCGGGATACCTGTCCATGAAATGACCCCTGTTTGTCTTCGGAACTCCCTGAACAGTTAGTCTTCAAACAGGGATACTGTCCATATATGACACTGAAAAAGAAAAAGATCACGTTCGCCCCCCGAAGACTCGGACCATGAGTTTTCCGAAGCAAACAGGTACTTGTTCACTCCATGAATCAGTCGTATAAAATGGATTCACATGGTTCCAATTGGCGAAACGGCCGGAACTTGCCACTATCAACTATGGTTTCACGTGAGGAGTTGGAACGTGAGCGCCAGCAAGCGGAACGTGAGAATGCCGATCGGGAGCGGGCACGACGTCGATTGCAACGGTCGGGGACGGGACGACTTCGGTTTGGAAAAGGGTCTAAGCCTAAGCTTGTAGAGGAACATTGGTCGAGACCATGTTTGCACAACAGGCAGGCAGGCAGGCAGGGAGGAGATTTAATTACATTCCAAATCATTGCATCCATGTGATGTGAACATGTGGAGGATGCAAGGATATTCAGGGGGCTCTTGAAAGGAAGAGACAGGCTCCTTTGCGAAAGTAAATTGATAGGTTGTTTGGGAGGTTCGTGCTGCTTTGGGAGAGCGTCAGATTCGCTCAGCATTGGTCGGCATTTTGCACAGGACGAACCTCCAACCAGCCAAGTCATACAGGAAAAACCACGCCTTTTGCTCGGCTGCCCGGCTCTCCTGATCCGTCCAGTTGGTCTCCGAACGTCAGGCCCACGTCAATCCCTCCACCGAACCCGACGATGTCGGACGCCAGGGCCAGGGACCCGTCAGGCCCACGGCCGGGCCACATGGACCCCTCCCCAGTTGTCGTTCCGTCCCACATGTCTCCCATCCGACTCCTCAGCCATGCCGAGCAAGGACGCTACGAACGGGGCTCCTGGCCGTACTACTAGAAGCAAGAAGCTACTAGGGGCTCTTGGCCGTACTACTAGTAACAAAAGGACGCTACTAGGGGCTCTGTTGTCTCCTTTCAGAGGAGATGGCCGGCGCCTTCGGCGAGTTCGAACAGACCAAAGGGGAGTATGACAAGGCGGGTATAGTTGAAGAAGTCTAGGTTCCAAAGTTTCCGAAGAGGATGTTTTTGCAGTGAAGAAATTGATTCGCTCTGACAATTTTGAATATTTTGGCACTTGGACAAGAGGCGCTGTTTGGAAGTGAAGAGCAGAGGATGTTGAGGGTAGGACGCTTCAATTTGGGTCCATTGAACAAGTCCTGGCAAAGGGACCAATCATATATTATGTGTATGTGTATATATATATATATTTTTTTTTCCCGCTTGGACTTTAAGGTCACTCCGTTTGCATCCTATCAGCATCTCGTAGCATAATTTGCTGTTCAAGTTCTTTTGGACATGGGTATCCGTCAAGCGTCCAGAATCCACCTTCAAAAGACATCTCAGAAGAGGACAAGAAACGGTGCTTAAGTTTCTTGAGTTGAGTTTCCTAAAAAGTATTGGAACCAACTCATCAAGCCTGGGCCCTTATGTGTGCGATCAGTGGCGACCTACTTAAGCTTAGTAGCTATACCTTATCTGTCAGCCCACCCTACCGCGCACGGCCTGCTGTGAAACCGTCAGGCCATGGCGGAGCTTGAAGCAGTCGGGGAGTCCTAGGTCCTGCAGTCGGGTTTCACCGAGTACCCGATTACCTTAAGATAGTCCTTAAGATGCAGACTGGGATCATAGCACGATCCCAAACTTGTGTGCCACCATGTTCCACCACTTCTATCCCTGGGTTTTGTTTCTCCCAACCTGTACCTTTGCTGTGGAGGATCTCTATGCATTCAGAGTTCCTTTTTGGATATCGGTCTACCCTGGGTGAGACACTGACGTCGGTTTTTGTGTTGTGCCTCAACCTCCGATTGATTGTTCAAGACATGTTGTGCCTTGAGCTGGAACTGCCGCAAAGACGCTTGCGCATTGGTCCCTGCACTTGCAAACCGTCCTTGTTCTGAGTCGTCCGAGTTCTGTTTTCCAACTCTTTATATAGAGGAGTTTGGAGCTTGGGAGTTCATTTTTAAGGCCCACAGATTTACTTTTGTGGTAAGATTCATGGCCAGAGAATGTACGCAGAGAACTTCTGTGTACCTTGAATTCAGCAAAGATGGGCAGCCGGAGTTGGAGGCGCACCACCACCTGCGCCAGTTCTTGTAGAACTATGGCGCCTGGGGTGTCAGAGGGTTGGGAGCCGGATGACATGACTGGAATGTGCGCTGGCAACATGGACAGCATATTTAGTCATAGTTGAAATCTCGCAAGAAGTCGCTGCTTACAAAGAAGGCTGGGTGTGACCTGCTAAAGAAGCTCATGGAGATGTCGAAGGGCTTGTGGCCTTTTGGCAGTTGATTTGCCCAGGATGTTGCTTCAGGCTGCATGAAAAGCCTCCACCAACCACCGGTCAGGCTGTCCCATGCGTCCTTCCCGCGTTGTGTTGTGGGTCTGCGACCCGTGCCTTTCCTGTGATCGGTCGATCGATGTTGGGACTGCGGCTTTGATCACCGAACCGAGGCCCTCAAGGACTTTTCCTCGGAACAATCGCAGTAGCTTGGCTGATGGGGAGCTTGAAGTCGGTGTGGAAGCTACTAGTAACAAGGGCATCGCTACTACTAACAAAGGGCATTACTACTATATAATTAGTAGCATTCTTGCTAGTAACAAGAACAAAGGGAGTCTTGCTTTCAGTAACAATTGATCCTTGAGAAACGAAACTCGGGATGATATTTTGCTGCCTACATGTTGCCTACCACTTGACTGTGCGTTTGGCTCAAGACTGTACATGCTTTCGGGGCCAACGTGTCGACACCACGTTCCCCGGTGAGCTTTGGTGGAAAGGAGACAAGTCATGGCCAGCTTTACACCCTGCCCACGGGCTTCAAACACCCTGGCAATTCAGTTTCACCCAGATAAGTGCCCAAAAACCTTTGCACAAGCTGCGGAGCTCTTCAAGGACTATGATGTGGCCCGGTTGGACATGTCCCTCGCACCCAATACGAAACTGGTTCTTGTGACCTTTTACGATGTGCGGGTGGCCCAGCAGGTCCTGAAGCACATAAAGCCCTTTGGTTGGCCTGCCCGGGAAGGATGAATGACTTCCGCACGGTGAGGTTGTCGATCTCTGAGTTTGCAAGTCTTCCGCAGCACGAGAGAGGCTTTGAGAGGTTTGGTGAGATTGCAGGGCTTTCCAGCTGCGGTGTTGACATGCTTATAGAATTCTATGATATGTGTGCTGCTCTTCAGTGCAGCATGTCTATCCCTGGGAGTCAGCCTGAGAAGTGTGGACCAATGTGCCATGAGACTGGTGATACTGTTGGCTCGGCAAAGGACACCAACATGACCGGTTGAGGTGGGTCAGCGTGCAAAGTGTTCTCTGTGGCTTCCCCATTGCCTCCCATGCTACCAATACAGACAGTGGAAGGTCCTTTCTCTTGCATGTGGACCGGAGGAGTGCTTGCCTGAATTCGAAGTGTCTAAAAGACCATTTAAATCTAAAACTAAATGCAAGATGAATCCAAACCATGGTGATGTTGCCCATGGAGGTGCAAAGCAAAGAAGTGCTAGCAACATTTTGGCGGACCACCTCTTGATTTCTTTTACATGTTGTTTGTTTTGTCCGATCATACACTGCGGAAGGGGTGTAACGAAAGTTGATCAAACTTGAGACGGACGATGCTACACTGACCAAGTCAGGGACAATTCAGTGCTGTTCAGCTGTTCAGCTTTGAGACGAAGCTGAGTGCGGCTCCTTCTGCTGGGTGAAAACACCCTGCGGTGACATGCAAAATGTGAGTCTCATCAAGATGCGTCCGACGCGATCGTCCGGATAGGCACTGTGCCATCAAACGGTGGACTGTTTAGACGTTTCAGGAAGTGTCCATTATGGAATTAAGCTGGAAGACTCGAATCTAAGATATAAGCCGAATCTTCGAAGCCTTTCTTCCATTTTTGGTTCTTGAATGTCTTTTTGTTTCGATGTTTTCCCATGTTTTCGCTGGAGGACTCGAATCTGAAGCCTTCAGCTCGATCCCCTCCCTTTTTGGGGCATCCATTTTACCGGAGCCGAGTTCGGAGGAGTTCGGCACGCGGGAGTTTCAAGCGTCCCTTCGGCCACTCGGAGGGTCCGGTTCTTGGGGGACGAACACGTCCTAAACAAGTAACAAGTGCCTTACTAGTAGGAACAAGTGCCTTACTAGTAGTAACAAGAAGCTATTAGAAACAAGTGCATTACTACTAGTAGCTAGAAGCTACTAGTAACAAGTGCATCGCTACTAGGAACAGCTGTAATTACCCCAGTGTGGGGGCCCACATTCCCTGCAAAAGTCACCGGAATTTGCTTCGATTGCTATGAGCTGAGCTTTGAGGTATGAGACATCGTTCTGGCTTTTGAAGGCGTTGGTTGGCAGTCCGGGGGAAGCAAAATGGGCTGAGTCGGTTTGAAGGTGGGTGGGCGGAGTCTTGGCACGACCTCAAAACGAAGGAAGGCAATCTTCGGAGCTGCCAGGAGGGCCGAAGGGCTCAACAAAAAGCGTGTGTTCAAGTGTTGAAAGACGATTGTCACAGGGTTCTCAACTTAGGGGCTTCTCAACTACCTCTTTGTGGTACGGAAGGTAGATGATAGTAGATGAGTCTCATTATTACATATTCTTACTTATATATATATGCACGAACCATAAAAAGATATTATATTATGAAGTCACTATTATTGGCTGGGGCTTTCGTCATGTTTGAATTGACAATATATCCATAAAGAACTACTGGCATTTTGCTCTGCGTGTGGGAACTGCAAAGGCCATCCATGACTCTGAGTGCAAAAAACTGATGGAGAATCATCATTTGGCGGGGAGTCTCGGATGGAAGTGCCAAAGAACTTGGGAAAGGTCAAAGTGAAGACTCTTAGACTCTTATATTCTTCTTGTTACTACTAGTAAGGCACTTTGTTTCTAGAAGCGTGGCACTTGTTTCTAGTAGCTTCTTGTTACTACTAGTAACTACTAGTAAGGCACTGGTTTCTATAGATGCTTTTCCACTTTTCTAGTGTGATTGCACTTCAATTTCCAGGTAGCTGCAAGCGGAGTTTGGTGCAGTTGCTGTTGCGTGGGAATCTTCTTATAAATCGCAGTCAAAGCTGCTATAGGTCAACCCATTGATGTTTGTTTCATTGGAAACCTCTTGAGGATGACGCCGACTGCCACAAGAATTGGGTGACGGCGCGTGAAGAGCCGCGGCCTTACCGGAAAGGTCGCCTGTTTGCGAGAGATCTTCGACATATCCGAGGTGTCCTGCATTGAGCGCGTCGATTGAACAATGAAGTTGTTGGCAATAAAACTGTCAATGAACTCAAGAGAATCAACTTGAGCTTTGAAACTCCAGAGTTCACACACCAGTCGCGTTCACGAAACGTCACACATCCGCTGGTGCCCTTCGTCCAAACCGTTCCATGAAAACCCGTGAAAAACCAAGATACTTCGCGCGGGTCTTGGTGCCTCAGTGTCTCAAAGGAGAGACCAGTGCTTTCGAGCTCCAGGCCGAGCTGCGATCCGAAGCCGCTTGAGCGAAAATCAAAATCCGTCGAACTGGGCAGATGTGTGATTTGTTTTTGGTGCGCTTGTGCAGGATCTCGCCGTGAGAGAGAGAGAGAGATTTTGAGCATTATACTGTATACTATATAGATCTATATAGTCATTAATTATAGTTACTTTCATATTATTTTCATGAAGGTACTGGCGACCAGCGGGCGTGACTTAGATTCCAAAAAGACCATCAACTTGGGAGATTTCATGCCCACCTCAGCTGTGCTTTCCAAATCTGCACCTTGTACCCACTTCGCAGGAAAGAGAGTCTTCCCCCCTGCTACCGCTTCAATGGCAGGGTTTGTGGGAAGCTTGTGATTAGCTGATTGACCATCTCAGGTCTCAATGAGCTCCTGATTCCACGCTTCAAGGGATTTATAAATCATGCTCCAAATCTGATGTCCCTGCAGTCTCCAGCACTGGATCGAACGTTTCGGTCGCACTTCCAGGTGCCTCCACTGGCGGCCGTGCGGAGCCCGGTCGCGGGCGCCCCGACGCCCCCCCGGTCCACGCACCGCGGGGTCGACCATTTGGGGGAACGTTCCGAGGTGCTGGCGCCGGTTGGGCTCGGCTCAGGCGACGGGCTCGTGGCACGTGGCCGGCCGTGCAGTGGGAAGGTGGGGGAGGTTCGGTGGATGAGCTGAAGTCTGGGTGAGCTGAGGGGGAGATTGTCCCGACTCCCGACTCTAGTTACTCTAGTTTTTGTGTGACTCGATTTGCTCATCAGATTGTTGGGGCTGTCCTGAAGCACTCAGACTAAGACTTCGCTTGGGGACCATTCGCTTCTCTGGTGACACAAGAGAGCTTGGTGTGCAGGATTCTGGTTTTCCTTGGCAAATTGATCTATTTGAAGGTATGTGTTCCTTCCCCTTTGTGTGCCTGAGACATCACATCCAGAGGGCAGGGTGCCCCAGCAATAGTCTTGTGCACCTCATTCTTAGCCTAGTCACGTCCATGGAACCAAAGCTCCCAAACCAAAGTCCTGCACCTTGGCTGCTGCTGCTGCTCAGGTGTCAAAAGGAAGGAGATCAGATGTTTTCTGTGATCCCAGGGCGCGAAAGAAACCTTGTTTCACTTAAGAGCAGTCCAAGTCGCCCATGCACCATCGGCGAAAAGCAGCTCCCAAAAGCACTGCCTGGACACTTAAGGATGTGACATGCGATTCACTATTATTCACTGCCTGAATCTTTGAGAAGCGAGGACATTGGACGCACCCAATGCGTCGCGCGAGTCGCCTCGTTCTCCTCGGACTGATCGCATCCCGGGCCACGCCCCAACCCACGCCGATTTGGGCTCAAGATTGATCGAGTGGGTCCACGCCAATCCGGAGGACCTCTAGGCACTCCGAGGGAAGAATGGCGCGATGAAGCGACATCAAGCGGCTGTTTTTGGGTGTTGAGACGCTGATTCAAACGTCCTTCAAGACTCTGGAGTTGGGCGGATAGGAATGATTCATGGGACAGCTGATTTCCACCTTGCGGTTCAGCATCACTGACAGCATCAGATGCAGTGAAGCCTGAGTTTCAGGTCCCGAATCGGGTTTTCTCCTTTCCTGACACATGCCATGAAACGGATCGATGTTCGCACCTCTCAAGGACCCAGTGATGGGGAACACTGGATCCTGTTGCTCTTGCGAGGATGACGTGTCAGGATCCCCAGTGACCTGAAAAACGACTGGAACAAGCTCAACCGGAACAAGCCTCGTCTTCCTTTTTGGGGGAAGACGAGGGACGACTGGGTCGGGAATCGACTAGTCGCAGACGGAGAATGGGATCGGCTTTGGAGGCTTTTGGGGTGCAAATCCTTGCCTGTGGGAGATTGGGAGGACGTCAAATGAAGCCGTGATGTTTGGATATTTCGGGCCGATTTCGGTCCAAAAATTGCCTCACAATTGATCTGTGACGCTTTTTCCCACAAAATCCCCCTTCCCATGACCAGAGGCTGGAGTATTCCACCTCGAGGCAACAGGCGCAACGACCTTCACCTGGGACATGGAATCGGCCCAACTCGTGGGTGGTCATATCCAGTCGGTGGATGACACACATAGACACCCAAATGCTTGGATTGTACATGATTGTACTATATATTTATAGTGAAAAAAGACACCTCCAACAAACCATCATTGTTTAACGGATGTTTCCAATGATTTATCATGAGCACCTTTCTGGCACAAAGGCCAGCATGCCAGGCCAGGCCTTTTTGGGTACCGCGTGGCTCGCCGTGCGTACCGGCCGTGCTCAGCCGTGACCAAGGCAAGGCAGTGAGGACTCAAAGAGGTGGGTCAACCTTCTGACTGAGAGAGGGCTGGCACCACCTTTGGGTGGTTAGAGACCAGAAATCCCCAGGTGGCGAAGGGAAGAAGGAGTCAACCAGCGGCGCTGGACATCGAGACGTGTAGCAAAATTATGCAACATGGCATACCATAAAATGGTCATCTTTGGAACTGTTTTCTGAAATGTAGAAGACTAAGAAGCAGCTGAGTGGATGGATCCACCAAAGCCTGAAGCTGACTCTGAAGTAGTGGTGCGCTTTCGATAAGCCCCACACTGCACATCCATCCCAGCAGTTTGGACAATGGTCAGTGTGAAGAATTGCAGATGTCCAACTGTCCAACGTAAGAAAAGTGTGCAAATTGCGTGCCCATGGGTTTATCATGGTTTATCCGACTATCCCTTCGATTTGCCCGAAGAATCATCCTGATCGATCCAATTGATTGGGCCATGATGACATCTAATCCACCCTGAAAAGAGGACAGAACAACATGCATGTGACTGGTGGCCACAGAAATGTGTTGACCGAGTCACATTGGTTGACCCGGACTGGTTGAATCCCTCAAGACCTCTTGGCTACATCATCGAGCTTCAACATCGTTCCTCTTGCAGTTTTCCAACGATGGAGTTATGCGCCAAGATTGTTCGGCCTTGTGCTACTCAGCAGGTGTTTTAAAAGATGCAACACACACACACATCTAACAAGAACAACTGTCACCTTGGGTGCCTTGGCTTTGTTTGTTTGAGTTCCTAGTCTTCTTGGAATGACTTCTGGAGTCTCACCGATGTAGCACTGTAGAAAACAGAAGGCAAGACCTGATTCCTCACACTTTTGTTTGTTTTCTGCCATCTCGGATGGGCACCTCGTTCGCAGCGCTCAACCGACTGATACTGTATTGTTTACACAGGTTTACCTGGTCACTGACACAACTCACCATGCACTACTCATCGTTTCTTGGGGACCCAGGCCGGGCAGACAAGCCAGAAAAAGGCCGGGCAGTGGCTTAACCGGTGAGATGTGTCACGTGGGGCGATGATGAGACCGTGAGACCATGCTGAAGTTCTCTTCGCCATGTGCGTGCGTGGTCCATGTGTCAGTTCGCCGGGGCATGGTCATCTAGGAATCCACTACACCTCGACTGAAAAGGAATTTGGCCTCAAAAGTTCTTTCAACACCGAGTTGGAAGACGTGGGCATCCTTAGATATCAGATAGCTTTGGACAAATGAGCTTCTATCATTGGCTTGCCGCGACTTGCCATATTTCCTTCATTCCTTTGAGACAGAGCATGGATCCCGTTTGTTTGGGAAGAGTTTTGGACCAAGCAACTTTCATTAGGTCGCCGACGGAGTTCACCATCATCCTCGACCGAAGGCGTGGTGTTTTCGACAGTGTGAGATGCCAGGTGGAACATTACGTTTCGCAGGATGGTGGATGACGGTTGGCAATCCCCTGAGAGTTCTTGAGTGAACAGAACTCTACCAGAACTCTGCAAGTGGTTTGGGAAGAGCGACATCTTTTGGGGAGAGAGTTTTGCGGCGACATCTGGGAACTTCTTTCTCCGCAGGACCCTCGTTGTTGGCCGGCCTTTTCTCGTTGGGTTTCCAGGAACAACGAGGGCCTCGGCGTGGATGCGGCACCTGAGAAGGTCGGGACGCTGGAGATCAAAAGCGTCACGCCTGGAGGTCTTGTGGACAGGCCAGGAGTGGGGGGAGCTCGGGCGTTAAGCACCGGTGTGGGGAGCTAAAGGGATCGATATTTTTTTGTAAAGATCTGAAGTTGTGGAGATTTATTTGACTATATTTGACTTTTTGTTGAAATATTGCCTAACATGGAAGAGGGATCCAATGAAGAGAGACAATCTCCCATGACCTTGCCAACGGACCAACGGACCAAGTGCTGCAGCCCACTGCAGACGGTGGTGACGCCCAGGTGGAACCAGGCCCAACAGCCTGGGTCTCGAGAGATTGTCAGGCCAGGCATGCGCGTGGTCGAGGCAGGGGAGAAGTCTTTGGTCGTTGATCCAGAAGCGCTGCCATGATGGGTTCAGAGGTGGACAAAGATGGGAATGGGTTTGGATATGTTTGGTTCGCTTTGCGAAATGCCAAGAAGACAAGGACTTTGCTAGGAGTCAGAGAATTAAAGAAGAGAGATGGGATCAGAATCAGGAATCGATCATCATCATCTTGAAGTCCCGGACGTCTCTGCAAAAAGGACTCTTCGAACTCGCTGCTTCGAACTCGCAAATAGACACGGCGGAGGTGAATGGTCGCTTCAATAGCGCAGTGGGCCTCATTGCAGCGTGTCGAGAAACAGAGGCACAGAGAGACGATCCGCTGCGCTGGATCATGGGGGATGCAAGACCCACCCGAGGTTCCGCAGGGCATCCGCTCCGTCTTCAGACGCTCCGCGCTCCGCACCAATGCCGAATGTTTGACTGGTTCCTGCTTCCCACTGCGGTGACTGAAGCCGCACTGGGGGTTCACCCCATAAGTGAAAGACAGCGGCTTCGAATATGTTGATCTCTACACCGTGCCTTGGCTTTTTTAAATATATATATATATACATAATATATATATATGGTATTATATTTATTTGCTGTTTTTGGGTCATATTGTTTTATATACAATGACTTTTTTGGTTACTGTGTTTGGGTCACTGTCATTGGAATTCATTGCATATATCCAAACGGGTTGTTCCAGACTAATTGGACAGTCATTGGCTGTTTGACACTGACAGTGTTTTACTACAGGTTGTAGCTAAGTCATCGACTCATTTGGACATTGACTCAGTCCCTCCCTAGTGAAGCACATCAAACATAAACAACAAGTAATCATGCCTGAAACCTACCAACCACTCAGCACAGATGTCATATCCACAGCTCACCAACCACTCAACACATAACTCATTCTGATATCATATCCAATATATCCCACCAACCACTCAGCACATAAATCATAAATCATGTCTCCATTATAATTTCCAACTTCTGCCAACCACTCAGCATATATCGAAATTCTATCAACCACTCCAACCACTTAGCACATAAATTCTTCTGATATGATGTCATATCAAAATCCTACCAACCACTCAGCAAAGGAGCGATATGTAAATCCTAGCAGGCTGATTCACGTCTCACACAGACTCCAATGTATGTTTGATGATGAATGAAACTGTTCAGGAACACTGAGAAGAATAAATAGCATACAACTAGTACTTAATAAAGTAATTGTCGTATATATCCACTATAATTCAAACAATGGAGGCGACCATGCTCGCACGCACGCTCTTTTAAGCCGCACAGGTGCTTCACGTTGCGATTGAGCCATGACAGGCCGTTGGTTGATAGACAATGCCTCGCCCGTGGCCGCGATCTATCCGCGATTCCATGGTGAATGCACCCAGCGTCGATTCTCCAGAAAGAGCATGAAATGGAAGTAAAATGGAAGGCAAGTCGACATTAACATCATTAACGAGACTGATGGATGCCTTGCTTAAGTTGCTTTCCTTCAAACATTTGTCAATGTGCTGTTTGCCACAGGTGCACGCAGTCCCACTTAACCTGAGATTGTTCCGATCATGCGTGTTGTGGCAGCTTTTGAACTCTGATTGAATGAACTCTGGAGTCTCAAAGAGAATCGGCATTAAGCTACTTCAAAGAAAGTGGTGTTTCATCCATGCATCAAAGGTCCATCTCTGGAAAAAAGGCCACGGAGTTCTGCAGATGGTAGGCACTCCTCACAGGTTCTCCCAGTTCATCGGTACTTCACCCAGGTTGAAATCATTAAGCACTAGAACTGGTGGTCATGGCTTCGAAGAAAAGACTTTGTTTGCCCAAGTTTGCCCAGAAATCCTGGCTGCAGCCTCGAGTTTTGTGAGTTTCGAGCATTTTGCTAAGGGTTTTTGCTAGCCTCTAATTTAGGGATAGGTGATCAAGGAAACCGACCTTTATTTATCCTCTGCGGACCCTATGTATCTCTTGTACATCTTGTGCCATTTGTGGCTCGCCTGCCATCCGCCGGTGTGGCTCAGGGCATCGCTGTGCGTCCGCGTGTCAGTAGCCCATTGCCCGCCTGCAACGCAGCCGAGGGGACCCTGGACGGTCGAGCCGCAACATGGCGTGGCTTGGTGGAAGAGGGCATTTTCATGCATGTACATTGATCTTCATGCTATGAACAAGCCGGACCAATGAACATCAAGCAGTGAGATCTATATAATCCTTACCAAATAACCGGTGTCGTTCTCGTACCTGCATGTTTGTTGTGCCTGTGAGGCTGTGGGGCTTGACTTGGCTGTCCGGCCATGGAGACTCCTCAAGTCCAAAAACCATCCAAGTCCATCTTGTTACTAGTAGCTATTGGCTCCTAGTAGTACGGCCAGGAGCCCCTAGTAGCTTCTTGTTCCTCGCTAAGAAACCTTGATGAAACAGAAGGAAAGAGACCTTGAATTCCCACTGGTCTCGGCCAAGAGGTCCAGGTGAGTGTTCGGCCGAAACGCGAAACAACCTAATAGCGATGGTCCTGTAACCGCTGAAGGTTGCACCGGATGAGTGACGACCCAGCTGGGGAATCTGACTGAATGATTACAGAACGCCTTTCGAGACCACAACCTCCTACTCTCAACAAGTGCCACGCTAGTAGTAACAGGTGCCTTACTAGTAGTAACAAAAAGCTAGTAGTAACAAGTGCCACGCTAGTAGTAACCTCTCCGTTGAACCTACTGGGCACAAACGAGACACCATGAGACACCGATTACATCCGAATACAGTACAGCCCCCTGCACACTGCTGGGCCTTCTGCGGCGTGCTCCTTCCCTGACA